TCTCTCCCTCTCCCTTCTTCACTGAAATCAATAGAAATATATTTTTAAAAATTCCTCCTTCCATAAGTTAAACTGTAATATACAAAGAGCCCTTCTGGTTGCTCATGGCTTTAGGAGAGGCCCACCTGGCCCAGTGTGGGAAGAGGAGGACACTGGCCGCAGAGCAGACAGATTCCACACCACGTCCAGGTGACACTACATTTGCATTTATGAAATGAATGATTAAATGATATGAATGAATACATGTTCATTTAATCTTGTATCATCTCACAAAAATCATAATTTCAAAGAAAATGGTAAAACTATGAAATTCTTTCTGGTGTGTTAAGTCCCTGTTGCAACACTACATAATTAGAAGTAACTCCTTTTTCATCTTCAGTTTTTATTTCTAACCTTTCAGAAATAACATTTAATGGAAATAGCTGAATAAAAAGCAAACTAATCATATCTATAAACATTTTGTTTTGAAAAACTGAACCACATGCCTCTCTTTTTTGCTAGTCTGACAAATAACTTACATTTGTTAGGTGCTGGGCAAAATATTGTCCTCTGGGCCCAGGGACATTGCTAAGGAAATAGAAATCTTATGGCAGGAATGAGACAGGATAAACAAAACCGGAAATACCAGGTAAACCAAACCCCAAATAAATTTAATGGCTAATCATTTTAGGATTGTACAAGCGAGACAGTATTTGAAAAGTGAGTCCTAATCCACTTCTTGTTTACCTTTTCAGGCTCAAATGGGCACTCCCTACCTGGACTCCTGTTCTGCAACCTCACATTATAGTGCAGTGTCCTGAGGAGCCCCACTTTCTCAAGACTCTGCACCCTCCCTCAGCCTGGGGGGCCTTCCCCTCTCAGGTGCACTTCCTCTGGGAAGCCTTCCCTGATCCTTCACCTCAGGCCAGTGAGGTGCCTGCTCCTCTGGGTTTCCATAGTGACTTCCATGTACATGTCAGTTTTGCCACTTGCCATGAATGGCCAGGTAAATATTTGTGAAGGTCTGTCTCCCCAAAGAGGCTTCATTCATCGATGCATTCATTCAACACACAGCCTGCTGGGAGAACAAAGGCCAGTCTGGTACTTCCTGCCCTGGAGCAGTTCACAGGGAGTAGGACAGGTTAGCATCCCAACAATTACATTCTGGTGTGAAAAGTGGCCAAATAGAGATACACATGGGCCATACGGCACTGATGGGTGGAGGGGGGGTGGGGGCTTGCCTGGCTTTGAGGCTGGAAGGATAGTGATGGCCGGTCAGTTCGGAATGAAAGGTGAGGAAGGATGGTGCAGGCAGAGGGAATGGGGGTGCAGAGGTACCATGAGAAGAGGAACAGGAAACTACAAATATGCCTGCATGCCAGACAGCAGAGTGTGCATAACAGCAGCAAGGGAACAGTTGGGGCAGGGTAGAGACATCCTGATATACCATACTGAGGAGTATACCCTTGAATATGTGTCATGGATACTTGTTTTGAAGGGAAGTAAATCTCGTGAGAATTTTGGGAAGATTATTCTAAGAATGAGATGGGGGCATAATAAAAGGAAGTGAGCCGAAGTCCCTCTCTTTAGGAGGAAATAGAACAGTGGTTCTCAACCTTCTGGCCCTTTAAATACAGTTCCTCATGTTGTGACCCAACCATAAAACTATTTTCGTTGCTACTTCTTAACTGTAATTTTACCACTGTTATGAATCGTAATGTAAATATCTGATATGCAGGATGGTCTTAGGTGGCCCCTGTGAAAGGGTTGTTCAACCACCAAAGGGGTCGCGACCCACAGGTTGAGAACCGCTGAAATAGAAGATGAAGGTTGAAGCTGAAGAAGTGGCAATGGAGAGCAGGGAGGAAACGGACTCTGGAGAAATTTATTTCAGATGGAGAATGAGCAGAACAGGTTCATGGAGAAGAAAGAGGCGTGCAGCCCTGGGAAGGCTGACCATCCATGACCAGGAAACCTCTCCAAGCTGGACATTGGGGTCTAGAGATCAGGAGAGACGTCTGGGCTGGAGGGAGAGATTTGGGAGGCATCTGCACATGGTTCAAAGCTAAAGATTGCATCTCCTAGGAAAAAATATGTCAAGTGTGAAGAGAAGAGGCTGATGCTGGACCCCTGGGGAATATTTGGTAGGAACAGATGGAAATCAGAGATCCTGAGATGTGAGTAGCAAGGAGTCCAAGAAGCTAGAGGAACAAACACCCAGGGAGATGAATATCCCAGAAACCAGGGAAGCAGAGTCCAGAAAAGGAGCAGGTGGTCAAGGTGTCCCCAGCCCATTTGACAACTAGTGCTCAAAAGTGATCTTGGCCCAAGCAGTTCCTTCGAGCGGTGGGGGCAGAAGTGACAATGCAGGTAGTAAGGGAACGAATGGAGAAGGGGACTAGCAAGTGGATGCTACTCTCTCTAGAAGCTTGCTGTGCAGGGAAAATGGAGAGATAGAGGGTGGAGGGGTTCCTTGAGGGCATGGAGCACTTCACACAGTGCCTGGCCCACTCACATATGTATTTATTGAGTAAACATTGAAATGATAAGTTGCTGAATAACTGAGTAAGAGCCAGGGAAGACTTTATGTGTTCTGAAGCATTTAATTACTTATTTATATTCAGAAGAGATGGCAGAGAGAATAAACCAGAGAAGAGAGAAGCAGGCGGCCTGGAGGATGGTGGGAGCACTCCCATTGTGAGACCCATGTGCAGTGAACAGGAATGTGTGCTCCAGAGCAGCGGTCACCAACCGCTGGTCCGCGGACACTGGCAGTCGGTCCGTGAGGTCTGAAAGGTCAGCGACCGCTGCTCCAGGGAGAAGGCAACCTGGGTGGGTAACTGCTGAGGAAGGGGAAGTCAGGAGTACAGACAGCATCACCGAGCAATACACAGGAGAGCCCACGATACACTGTAATCCATGTGGATTATTCAGGCAAAGTGGGAACTCTGTCCTTTCAACTCTGTCAGTGACCTGTCTACTAAAACACCGCAAGTCGATGCTGAGACACACAGACATCTTTTTCGGAAACAACACAAGATATCAAGAAAGTGACATTAATATTTGGAGTAAAGTTTAAAAGGTGGGAAAGCAGAAAATATTGCCTGGCAGGAGCAGGCAAGCATGGCTGACTTTGTGGAAATGGACCTGTATTTGGACAGTTTTCACAGCAAAACTGAGATAATCATACCCTCCCCACAGCGTTGCTGTGAGAGTTAATGTGAAAGTCCTTTATAAATGATCAAGGGTGAACTGTTGTTATTATGACCTAGTTGCTACAAAGGGCTCAGTGGGTATTAATGAACCTCTCTAGCTTGCACCACCTTTTAAAAAAATCTTTGCCCTAGCCGGTTTGGCTCAGTGGATAGAGCGTCGGCCTGCGAACTGAAAGGTCCCAGGTTCGATTCCAGTCAAGAGCACATGCCCAGGTTGTGGGCTCGATCCCTAGTGGGGAGTTGCAGGAGGCAGCCAATCCATGATTCTCTCTCATCATGGATGTTTCTATCTCTCTCTCCCTCTTCCTTCCTCTCTGAAATCAATAAAAATATATTTTAAAAAAATATATAAAATCTTTATTTTTGAAAGTATTACATATGTCCCCCTTTATCCCCCTTTGACTCCCTCCAACCCCCCTCCCCCCCGCCCCCCAGGCCTTCACCACTCTATTGTCTGTGTCCATGGGTTCTGCATATAAGCATACAAGGTCTTTGGTTGATTACCTCCCATCCACCCACCCTCCCCCACCCCGCCTTCCCTCCGAGATTCCAAAGTTTGCTCCATGCTTCCACATCTCTGGATCCTCTCCGCTCACCAGTTTATTTTGTTAATGAGATTCCACATGTGAGTGAGATCATGTGATACTTGTCTTTCTCTGATGGACTTATTTCACCTGGAGATAAGCTGTCTCAAAAGGTAAGAAATTCTTCTTTTTTACTGCTGCACAGTATCCCGTGGAATAAATGTACCACAGCTTTTTAATCTGCTTGTCTACTGACCCACACCCTTTATTTTTGTCCCTCTTTATTCTTACGTCCTCTGCTTCGGTTGCTTTTCTTATTAAAAGATATAATATGTGCAAAGTGCCTGAAGCAGCACCTGGAATATAGGCGTGTGTGTATCAAAGTTTCATTGTTAACCCTACCCCCCAGCCCCCCTACACACACACACACACACACACACACACACACACACACACACATCCCCTCCTCTCTTCCTGTGGCCCATCTATGGCCTGCAATGAATGGTGACTTCTGAGCCTGATTTACAGCCTTTTGATTCTGGGCAAGTCCTAACTTGGGGGCCTAATCAGGAAACTGATAAAGGTTAGGTTGTGAAATCACCAGCTGAAATAGCAAAATCCCCACTGCCCATTTTGCAAACCCCTGCAACGCATGGAGTCAACTAAGATGTTTCCAATCAGAGACCTGTCCTTCCGTTAGAAAGCACTGACTCGGACATCAAGTCTGTGTTATTTATTCAGTTCTCGGAACACTTGTCTTTTAAACATGACCTTTGAGTTTACCCAGCAGACAGAAATCCAGGGATGCGGGCAACAGTGAGCGGGAGAGAAGGGAGGAGTTTCCAGGCAAGGGAAGGCCATGGCACTTGACTTAAGGGACACCAGGGTCTGCCACTATCCACCGGCGCCTTGGCCCTGCGGTGTCTTACCTGTGAACCGGGTCTGATCATTTCCGTTCCACTGCGCGGCGGCTCCAGTGTGTGTATGACATCCCCCCTCCCCCCGCCCCATTAATGGACAAGGTATGGATAACCCTGACCTTGCATCCCAGCTCCGGACGCCCACACCCCACTGATCGGCTGGCTGGGCGGCAGCCAGAGGGACCCCACTGCTGCCGCCCCGCACAGGGCAGAGCCGGCCCTTGGGGGAGGAGCGGCTGGGCAGGTTCGCAGGCACCGAGGGCGGCCGGCTCCGAGCCCTGCGGCTTGCGCCGGCGGGAGCGAGCAGGCTGTAGGCGGCTCCTTCCTGTGCAAACTTTTCTCTCCTCTTCCTCCTCCCGCCCTCCCGCCCAGCTGCTCGGCGCCCGGCGTCCAGCCTCCCGGCCCCTCGCACTGCCTGGGGGGCGCGGCGCGGCCGGCAGCACCGCCCTCGGCGCCAGCCCCACCCCGCGCTCCGGGCCGGCCACCGGAGGACCCGATGGCCGAGGCGGGCCGGAGCCCCGCGGAGCCCCCGGGGGAGCCGGTTGGGCAGGTGGCGGCCAAAGCCTCTGAGTCCGAGGCGTCCGCCCCGCCGCGGGCCCTACGCCGGCTGCCCGGGGACCCGAGCCCCCGTGGCCGCTCCCAGAGCGACCTGTCGTCTTGCTCCAGCAGGGGCCGCCCCCTCCGGGTGCACATCTCCGGCTCAGGTAAGGGCTGGGGCGCAGGGGGCCGGCCGGGGCGGGGGAGCGGGGGGCGGGCGCGGGCAGGTGGCGGCGATGGCCAGGCTGCAGCCGGGGCGCCCTCGGGCGCTGGTCTCCGAGGCCGGCGGCGGGAGCGGAGGGGCTGGGAGGTAGGGACAGGGCGAAGCTGGACTACCCCGCCGCCCTCCTTCTAGGCTGTCCGCGGCTCGGTCCCCGGGTTCGGAGATGCTGGAGCCGGGCTGCGGGCTGCGGGCTGCGGGCTGCGGCCGGCGGGCAGGGTGGGCGCGCGCCCCCTGGGGCGAGGGTGCTGCCGCCGGGCGAGGGGGCGCTCCCGCGGCTGCTCTGGTTCGCCGGCTGGGCGGTCAGGAAGAGGAACCTTCTCTTGGTCTTGAGCTCGACTTTGTCCCTGGGAAGGGTGCGGTCCTGTCACTTGCGGGGCTGGGCCAGCGCAGGTTTTGGAAACCCTCCCAACTGCTCTGCTTCTGAAATCGAGCGTTCTCGGGGGTGCGGGTGGGGGTGGGGGTGCTGCTGGCCAGAGGGCTCCCTGTAAAAGCCCGTGCAGGTGGTGCCGAGGGTTCGGCCGGCCTGAGTGCTCATCTGGTCCGTCGCTGAGCCGTAGCCCGACCGCGGACCCTGGGCTCCACTCGGCCCGGCGGGATCAGATACGTAATCCTTTTTAAATGCGTTGAAATAACGCATTACCCTAAGAACTGCAGAACTTTTAAAAAGCCCACCAGATTGGTTAAGTTTCCACAGATGTTTTTCTAATTTTCCGTTGAGGGCTGATGCATGGGAACTGGAAGTTGAAAATAAAACGAGCATCAAGTGCACCCTTAGCAGCGAAAGGCCCTCACAGTGGCGCGCAGGTGTACACTGTCCCCCACCATGACCCCTTTCGGGCTCCAGGCTCAGGCCAGAGCTCTAACTCAACCCCACTAATACCCGAATCCGAGTTTCCTGGTCAAAAAGGGCATGTTTCCGGCCAGCTAGCTCTGTTTTCCACCAAAGACCTCAGTTTTCTTATTCTTGTAATATTGGTTTTGCAGCACAATGTGTATACTTAGAAAACATTAAAGGCATTGTTGATCCGACTTTGCAGATCAAATTGGGTAGAGCTGGTTAAAGTTGTTCAGTACTGGTAATGGGAGGTAGGGCGTGGGATTTGTGTAAAGACTCCTCTGGCGCCCTAGCCGGTTTGGCTCAGTGGATAGAGCATTGGCCTGTGGACTGGAGGGTCCCAGGTTAGATTCCAGTCAACAGCATGGCCCGGGTTGTGGGCTCCACCTCCAGTAGGGGGCGTGCAGGAGGCAGCCGATCAATGATTCTCTCTCATCATTGATATGTCTCTCTTTCTCACTCTCCCTTCTCTGAAATCAATAAAAATAAAACATATATATTAAAAGAAAGACCCCTCTGGTGAATTCATACTGTGGAAAGCATTGAAAGGAAATTATTTTACCTCTTGCTTTTTATGTCTTGCCAAACTGAACTTGGCCTGTGGATAATCTCGATTGATTTTTACAAAAATGAACTGTTCAGATGACTCTAAAGCAGCGGTTCTCAACCTGTGGGTTGCGACCCCTCTGGGGGATCGAACGACCCTTTCACAGGGGTCGCCTAAGACCATCGGAAAACACATATATAATTATATATTGTTTTTGTGATTAATCACTATGCTTTAATTATGTTCAATTTGTAACAATGAAAATACATCCTGCCTATCAGATATTTACATTACGATTCATAACAGTAGCAACATTACAGTTATGAAGTAGCAACGAAAATAATTTTATGGTTGGGGGTCACCACAACATGAGGAACTGTATTATAGCGTCGCGGCATTAGGAAGGTTGAGAACCACTGCTCTAAAGAGACAACTGAAAATTAGTCCAGTTGTAGATAAATAAGCATAGCTTGTGTCACCATTTTTCATTCGGCACATGTAACAGAAAAAGGGCAGGAAAACCCTTTTAAATGTGAGTGTGCGAAGTGCACATCGTGTGAGCTATGGGCTTCATTTTATAACATTATTTTGCTTCCGAGAACTCTGTGTCTCCTGTATGTTCTTAAAGGACATTGGAAGTGACAACTGTCCGCTGCGTTGTCCTGGTGCCCCTGGATGCTGACCCACGTGTAAAAGAGCGAACTTCTCCCATGTGACTGTGTTCCATTTTCAGAGCGGGGCTTTGGGATTCTGGAAGAGCAGGCTAAACGTGACCAGGAGCTCCTACGTTTCTTAGACTCAGAAAAAAGTCGTCTGGTCCCTCGTGGACACACACAGAGTGTTTTCCCAGAGTACTGTATCCTCTGCAGGCATGCGAGATTCAGCCAGATGACTGGGCTGGGTAACGGGATTGTCCTACAGGCACAACAGGGAGGTTACGCCACCTTCTGAAAACATCCCTTGGCCCGGGGGAGGGCAGCCTAAATTCCAGGCCCTCCCCAGAAGCCGTGGACACATGGGTAGTGCCCAGAGTTCGTTATATGTAGCCTCACCGGAATGGCCCCGGACCAGCAGCACCCGCCTCATCTTAGAATCTCACGCCCCACCCCAGACCTACTTAACCCCAATCTGCATTTCACAAGGTCCGCAGCTTGTGTTTGGATACATTCATATTTGAGAAGCATGACTCTCTGACACTTGTTTTCAAAGTTGGTTACACATAGGAGTCACGTGGGGAATAAAAAACAAAACAAAACAAAAAACAACCACAACGAGAGTACGGCCAGGGCCCACCCCCCGGGGATTCTGACTTAATTGGCATCAGGTGCGGCCTGGTATTAGGTGATTCTAATGTGTAACAAAGCTTGAGAACCACTGCCTTGTGGCGTGTATATGTCAGTCTGTCCTGTGATGCTGTGGCCAGGGTTGGGCCAGTGTAAGGTTGATGAATTTGGTCTAGGACAGTGATGGCGAACCTATGACATGCGTGTCAGAGGTGACACGCGAACTCATTTTTTTGGTTGATTTTTCTTTGTTAAATGGCATTTAAATATATAAAATAAATATCAAAAATATGTCTTTGTTTTACTATGGTTGCAAATATCAAAAAATTTCTATAGGTGACATGGCACCAGAGTTAAATTAGGGTTTTCAAAATGCTGACACGCCGAGCTCAAAAGGTTCGCCATCACAGGTGTAGGACCTTCTCACATCCCTGCTGGCACTTTCTCCTACTACTGCCACCTCCCAAGCAGCTTTTCTCACTCCCTTTCTCGATTCCAGTTTCTTGTCAACAAATTTCTTCTAAGGGTTAATTTCTAATAATGAGTCAACGACCTGGTGTGAGTCCTTGGGAGAGTGTGGGGTGTGGGGTGAGGGGTGGGGGAGGAGAGGGGAGGGAACATCACATTTTGCAATGATGTGTGTCTGGGAGGGAGGCGAGGGAGGGAAGGAAGAGAAGACTGAAGGTGTTCTCCAAGGGCTGGCCAAGAAGAACCTCACTCCAAAACAACCGTGCCCTCCCTGCTGCCCTCATCTCACCCCACCTTCCACCCAGCCTCCTCTCCACCCCTCTCCCATGAAAAAATAACTAAGAACTTGCAACTTGACCTCAAAAACTTTGCCAACTATGGCAGTAAGAATTATTCCAATAGGACACATATTTCTAAAGACCAGCTCTGTGCTCGCACTGTGTTGATGCTGAGGGGATATCACAAGAGGATCCATTTTCCCCGTCTGTGCTTTATGCTTAGATTGTTGTCAAAAAAGAGCACCTCAGACTTAATGGCTTTTATTTAACTTGTGATGTGAGCAGTTATTTTTTCACTTGATAAAAATGCATGCGTGTTGTCAGCATAACCTATATGTTGTTTTGTATTTAAAGTATGTTTTTATTGATTTCAGAGAGAGGGAGAGAGAGATAGAGACATCAATGATGAGAATCATTAATCGGCTGCCTCCTGCACACCTCCTACTGATCAAGCCCACAATCCGGGCATGTGCCCTGGCCTGGGAATCCAACCATGACCTCCTGGTCCGTGGGTTGATGCTCAACCACTCTCAACCACTGGGCAACACTGGCCAGGCACGTTTTTGTGGATTTTGTAAAATCCACTCAAAAAGTGCCAAGAAACCAAATATTTTCATAAAATGCACTTTACAGATGTTATTTAAATACATCAGCCCTTTCATTGAGCTTATAAAAACTAAGATTTTTTTTTTCTTTATAGAAACACAGATTGATTTTGCTTTATGGTTTTTGAACTCACAGTTTTGGAACTCAACAGAAGTTCTGGATTTTAAAAACCAAGTATTTCTTTGTAAATCTAGTGGCATTTTATCATTAAAAAAAAAATCCTGAAATAAGCTTTTGGTGGTATATGCACAGGTGTTTTATTAATTTTCAGATCAATCTTTCCTCATGTTAGAGACTTGAATATACTCAGTACATGCTAATGCGCTCTTCTGATAAGCCCAATGCTTAGTGAGTAAAGAACCTTAGTATACAACCCAGGGCAGTTTCCGCTCTAAGCTTTCAGCAAGTACTGACTGTGACCTACTGTGTGCCAGGCACTGTACTGGACTTGTCAGGCCATAGGGAGGCCCAAGAGGGGTGCCATCTTCAAGTGATGACTCTTAGTCTTGCATGTTGGGATGCACAGAGCAGAGAACTATTGGGGCCACTTAAAAAAAAGGGAGGTATGAGTGAGTAGAAGACTTTATTAGCTTGATGTATAGATGTTTGGTACCCTGACTCATCTCTCCAGCATCCCTTTGCCCTACTATACCATGGTATATATCGGTGTATAGGTAACTGCAAAGCCAGTGCTGCTGTCAGCAGCCAGTGGTCATCTATCCCACTGAGGGGAGTCCTTGCTTGTTCACACCTTGCTGGTGCTCCCAGAGTGCCTCTCCCTGACCTCCAAGGTTATAACTCTTGGATTCAATGCTTGCATGCTCAGCCGTTGTTCTAAAAGCATAATGCTGTGCCTGGGAGGCTGGGTCCCAGGGGCCCTCAGTCACAGCTGGGCTGGAGCTGCCCTAGGTTAGGAACAATGGATGC